GAACTCTGAGTTTATATCTTGCAATTCTTTTTTACTCCGAATTCTGAAAAATGGCCATATCATTATTACATGAATTAGAATTTGATATGGCGTGACAGAAATTGTTTTTTTCCTGAATTTCAATTCAAAGAAACTCAGCACAGCTTGAGCACAAATTCTGGGAATTTAAGTGCTCATCCACTCTTAGCCTATAAATCTTTACTCTCTTTACTTTTTTAATGCTTTTTAATATTTTCAAACAAGGAAACATTAAATATTTGTTCAACTTTGCTTTTCTTTTAAATTGTGTCCATCTTTGATTTTTTTCTAGTTAAGAATTTGTTATGAATTTAAATTCATTTTCAATTCATTCTGCTTTCCTACATTAATATTCGAAATGAAATTCTGCATCCTGTTTGCTATCTCAAATCAGTGCCATTTCAAATTCAAGGCATTCTCAATCCAATTCTGAATGTTGCACAACCCTGAAAATACATATTCATACTCAAACTATGCCTTGATAACCACCATGAGCCAAAGAGCAAGTGAGAAAACTCCTCCTCCATTCAATAGTACACAGTCAGTCTGTTTTATGTAAGGAGCGCCACCTACTGGATGCCAGTGGTACAGCACGAAAAATAAATCCTTTCACAAGTTGCTGTCCAAAGCACAACACACAATCCCAGGACCTCCAAGGGAGCAAGAAACTTCTAAAAATAGTTTTTGAGCTGCATTACGAAGGGAAGTTGAAATGGATAAAGTTCTTTTTTTTGTGATAAGGGCTATAGCTTTTGCCATTGCTCTGCAGGGAATCACTTTTAAAAGTGTAAAGTAGAACTCACTCGCAATCAAAGCAAAGACAAGTGTATTAAATCTTATGTGGAGTGTGTTTAATGGCCCGCCATGTTGTATGGAGTGTGAACTACAGTATGTCAATTTATCTGGATTTCAAGCACATCATCAAAGCACAAGGCAGGAGATTCAAGCCGTCGGACATCAAAGCACACCTGACAGCCGTTCATGCTTCTGTGAGACAATGATAACCCCATCCATCATATTTGTTTGGCAAGAGAGAAAGAAAGAGAGGAAAAGGAGGGGTGAAGTCATAATTAATAGTCTCTTTTGTGGTAGCTCCACCTGGTCTGAACCTCGTGGCCCGAGGCTCTAAGTGAAGCAAGTCCGTTCAGTGCTGAAACACCTGGAGAGATCTGGAACTCCGCTTATGGCTATTTCTTCCATTCTCATCCTCCTTCCTGCTCACTTTCTCTCCTTCATTTGACCTCACAATTCACAGGTGACTCTTTATCATCTGCACTAAGATGCCAACATCATGTCATTAATCAGTTTTTGATTTATTAAACATTCCTTTGGTGTGTACTCTACATTTTCAAGAAGAGCTGACTGCAGGCGTAACGAGCCGCAACTGCATTCACTAGCTGTCTGTTACACACCTGCTGCGCTGAACTGGATTATAAACTTTGGCAACAGGAGACAAGCATGATGCTTGAGTCAATTCAATTCTATTCTATTTCTGTAGCACTTCTCACATCTCATGGCATTCCAAAGTAGCCTTACAGAGATCACTAGCCACAATGTGCAAGACAAGGGTCACAAAAGAAAAACAACATCTGAGGAACTCGTAGCTATATAATGACAATGTTAGCCATGTGATAATTTAAATAAGGATGCACAACATATTGAAATTGAATCAGATTTGTTTTAGTTTTTTTTTTTGTATCCGCCTATATTGGATATGCATTATTGACCAACATTAGATATTTAATTGTGCAAGCTAACATCTGAGGAACTCGTAGCTATATAATGACAATGTTAGCCATGTGATAATTTAAATAAGGATGCACAACATATTGAAATTGAATCAGATTTGTTTTAGTTTTTTTTTTTTGTATCCGCCTATATTGGATATGCATTATTGACCAATATTAGATATTTAATTGTGCAAGCTCACTGGGGTTTGAGTAAAGCACTTTATAAGTAAATTGCATTATTATTATATTATCATTACCACTATTTTTACATTCATCTTAGCTCTAAAACACACTTTAAAAACACAAATACTGACAGTTAAATATAATCTTTAGCAAATCTCGAAATGAATATCCACTTGTTATATGTTTTATTACTAGTATTATTAGTGTTTTATTTTTAATATTTTATATTTTAACATTTAGTATTTTTATTTTTAAGATCTTCAATAATGAAGATTTGTAATTTCACATTTTCTTTATTTGTATATTTGAATGAAAATAATACAAAATATATAAACATTAAAATACTATATTTAAATAGCATCAAAATAACATTTATAATAATGCTAAAATTATTTATTTAATAATTGTACATTTTATTATTTAATATTTTCTATTTTTATATAATATCTTCTATTTTTTAAATTTTATATTTAAGACTTTTAATGTTGAATATTTTCTATTTTAAAAATATAATAAATCTATTAAAATAAAATTCATAAAAGTTTATAAATGTATTAAAATAACCTAATAAAATGACATTAAAACAATACTAAATTGATCATATTTAAACAATTATTCTAATAATTGTACTTTTTTTTTTTTGCTTCAGTATTTTAGTTAGTAATTTTAGTATTTTAATATTGGCAATTTATCAGTTATCATTACTACAACATAAAAATCATTATCAGCTGGTATAGGCCAGAATTTAAATATCACTGCATCCCTAAATTCAAACCAAGAACCACATGACAAGACATGTTTGTCATCAACACCTAAGGAACAGACTGTATTGAGCAGCTAATAAAACGTAAAAGTCCATGTTTGAGATTTTCCCTCATCATTTTCACTTATGCGGTTAAACCTGCTTTAAAGCACAACAAGGCCCTGTAACACACCATTAGAGCGTCTTTCTCTGTAAGTCTCTGCACGGGGGGCCTTATGCAGTCTGCAATCCAGTTGCCATGGCAGCAGCAGCTGTATCCACGGAGAGGTAAGGAAGCTGGCACCCCCCAATAACACGAGCCCCCTCCCTCCGGTGTATCAATGGAGGGATCTTCAAAAAACAAATCGACTGCCAATTTTTCTGTGGGCTGTGTGAAATTAAGGTACCATACAAAATGGATGGAGCTCTGCCGCTGGCTTTTTATCCTCCAGTGAAATTAAAAATGCATTACTTCCATGTGTCATTTTACGCCTGCACTTGATATTGTTTGTCTCACATGCATTACTATCAATGGAGGGATCTTCAAAAAACAAATCGACTGCCAATTTTTCTGTGGGCTGTGTGAAATTAAGGTACCATACAAAATGGATGGAGCTCTGCCGCTGGCTTTTTATCCTCCAGTGAAATTAAAAATGCCTCTTGCCCTGAGCAGAGAGATGAACAGATTACTTCCATGTGTCATTTTATGCCTGCACTTGATATTGTTTGTCTCACATGCACAGATGTGCGTTGAAGCGCTCATCAGACGCGGTCCGAGTGTGTTCATCAGTAAGATGTGGGCAGAGATGTCAAGTGAGTTGACCTTTGACCACCCTTGCCAGAGGTCAAGCAGTTTAAGTCAGTGTTCTACATATAGCATTACATGTTCTTCTCACCTGGAAAATCAAAGAAACGTCTGAGAGCATTGGCACTGACAGATTAAGTTACTAATAAATGCTCAAACATATAAGACAGACTTAATCAAAAATATCTCAGAATTAGTTTTAAACCGAGTTTATTGTGTTAATCACTTTTGCTCTTCTGACCGATTGAATTGCAACAAAAGGTAATAATAAAATGTGAAGGTGTAGGGTGAAATAAAATATGTGATATAAGACTGAATAAACAGAACAGAACTATTAAAATGACAAAACCAGAATAGATCAATTATGCCTTTAAAGAGATGCAGTAATTAAAATAAGATCACTGTTCTTAAACATTATTGTTTTTGTTGTTTATGATTTATTGCTAATTATTGATTTACATTTTAATTCTGAAATGTTTTTAACGGACCATAGTCAGGCTACACAACATATTTAATTTGACACAAATAAAAAGGATGTACAAAAATACAGTCTGTTAAATTAACACTTTGTTAAAGCATTTTCTCTTCATTTAACAAGGTAAATAAATTATGTATTTTTAACCTATGTATTAAATATATGGTACTTTTTTTTATGTTGTTTTTATATTGTCCTGGCATTGGCAATTAAAAATTATAAAAAAAATTTTTTTTAAATCAGTCAAACTAGTTAACACTGCTGCAATGTAGTTTACATCATTAATGAGCCTTCCCCGAAATGGTATTAACGACATCCTCAAGATTAATGATTTTTCTCTAAATTCTGTAAAAACTAAAGATTAAAGGATATGATTTTTATGATATGATCTTAAACTAAGAAGAAACTGAGACTGTCACTGCTAATATTTACTTTAATATATTTAATATGTTAATGAGGTTGCTAGATCACTTAATGAAATTGGATTTATAATTAAAAAAGGCTATTAATTTGCCTTTTTTATATTGTGTGAGAAGTCAAATTTCAAATACAGCTTCTCACAATAAATCTGGCACCTCTCTCTTAGATTTCCTGTTTTGGAAAGTTGTGTAAGCTTAATAGTAGATTATTTTTCCTTTTGCTGTTTGAACAAAAGGAAACACTGCTTTACCTCAGTTTACCCTGCTATTCTTTACTGTTTTGTTCCAAACAAAAGTGAAAATGGTCTTAATGTCCTAGGTCACGTCTAATTTTCATAATTTATGTTTTATAGTTTTTTGTCCACTGGAAAAAAACATATTGTACCGTACAACCCATTAAACAGCCCACAGCCTCATTTTTATGTCGAATTAAATATGATGTTGAACTAAGGTCTGTTATAATATTTTCATTAGGGTTGCAAAAAGGTGGAAATTTTCCAGTAAATTGTGGAATATTCCAGGGATTTTTTTGGAAAGTTTCTGGAAATTTTCCACCCCTTTGCAACCCTAATTTTCATCAGTGGTTTTCTGACATGTCAAGAAACTACATGAAGCATATAAACGCGCGATGTCTCGGGTAAATACAACTATAATTTTATAAAAATGCAACAACACGTTCACAGATCACCACATTGAGTGCATTAATGAAACCCTTGTCTGCATATCATTTATTGCATCTATTAATTTGAATTATAAACATGTATCTGCAGATTATTAAATTATCATTACAGTGCTCATTAGCATTCAGGTACAGGACAGCCCTTTGAAAACCTGACTGAGGCAAACAGCTCCCTCAGCTGGTCATTGACTTGCACTTCACCTTGAACACTGACAGACAGAGTGATCTATACTCAAATTCAATGCATTCTGTTTTATACTCATCAAAGCAAAATAAAACATTTTAAAACACAAAAGGCTTGCACTGATGTAGCCTGGTGCGTGTAACGCAGTAGCTGATGCTAGCCATGCTGAGATTGTTTGTTTGTGCGGCACGTGCTGTCTGTCTGCTGTAGTGTGGTGCCCGAGCATTCTTTTTCATTTGCTTGTTTTCCAGATGTCGTGTCCTCCACATCACCCCGTCCTCATCCTGCTCGGCTACCCCTCCCTCCCTCGCTCTCCCTCTGCCTGCAGCAGCGTCAGAGACCCTAACCGCATCAGGCGAGATAGCAGATTGGAAGTACAAGAGCGATCCATCCATCAAAAGAGAGAGAGTTGGGAAGGAAGGGAAGGCAGGGGGCATGCAAGAGAGAAAGCAAGAGAGGAAGTAAAAGAGAAAGATAATCAGAGGGATTTCAGCTAAACCGCAGATTATTAGCACTATGCGTCTAACATGTCTAGAGCCCATCTCGATGTGTTATTCCTTACTGAGCCAATAAACTAGGGCTAAACAGAAATGCAGACCTGATATAAGACTGTTCTTATGGCAACCTCAGTGCCATGCGGTGACATCATCAGCGGTCTGACTTAAACTATTCTAAACTCAGAAATACAATAGACAATGAACACATTCAAAGCAAAGAACTCTTGGCCAACAATCACAACCAATATGCATGCAAATAACCCTTTTGTTCTTGTTATGTTAAGACATGCCCACATATTGAGCCATGAGCCATCTAGCAGGGTTGTGCACCATTCGGAAATGTATTGAAAATTAAATTCACAAATTTGAATTGCATTTGAAGTGCGGTAACAAAAAGGCTGCAGACCTGCAATTCAAATTTAAATGTAAGGAAGTAGAAATAAAATGAAAAGTAATTCGAAGAAAACCACATAACCGTAATTTGAACTAGAAAATAAAAGGTCGGTTGGACGGACGGACGGACGGACGGAATAGAAAGATAGATAAACAGACAGACAGACAGAGAAATAGAAAGATAGATAAACACAGACAGACAGACAGAACACAAAACAAGGACGGATGGACGGACAGACAGACGGACGGACGGACGGATTTCTAGACAGACAGACAGACAGACAGATAGACAGATAGACAGATAGATAGATAGATAGATAGATAGACAGAGAAATATAAAGATAGATAAACAGACAGACAGACAGAAATAGAATGATATATAAACAGACAGACAGACAGACAGACAGACAGAGAAATAGAACGATATATAAACAGACAGACATACAGACAGACAGACAAACAGACAAACAGACAAATAGAACGATATATAAACAGACAGACAGAGAAATAGAACAATATATAAACAGACAGACAGGCAGACAGACAGACAGACAAATAGAACGATATATAAACAGACAGACAGGCAGACAGACAGAGAAATAGAACGATATATAAACAGACAGACAGATGGACAGACAGAGAAATAGAACGATATATAAACAGACAGACGGACAGACAGAGAAATAGAAAGATAGATAAACACAGACAGACAGAACACAAAACAAGGACGGACGGACACACAGACGGATGGACAGACACACAGACGGATGGACAGACAGACAGACAGACAGACAGACAGACAGACAGACAAATAGAAAGATAGATAAACACAGACAGACACAACACAAAACAAGGACGGACGGAAAGACCGACCGACCGCAACAGACAGACAGACAGCCCGCAAACATTCATGTACCACGTAGGTTGAATCCAAACAGATTATCAGAGCAGATCAGTCATTTTAAAACTTTCTGTGCGACGGAATTTCACAAACAGCGTGAGTGATTGGGATTGGTACCGCGTCTTCTCCCGCTCTCTCAAAATACACAAATGGCCTCACACCCATAATATCCACGTTGAGTTTGCTCTGCAAGCGAGCTGCACGCTGCAATACAAGACAAGCACGCGTTTCAGACAGTTGACGAACTATCACCTGCACGTAATTTTAAGTCATGCCAATTTAAACATTCAAGCTATTTTAACCCATATACTCGCGCACTCTTTGACAGGCCTTCAATGCGCTCTCCAAAGCGCGCACAGCCGCCTCTCAAACAGCTCGCGACTCTCGAGTTACTACATATTTGAATAAAATAATTTCCTTATTGTCCGGCTATTCCATTTTATTCATCCATGGCGCATGTTATCCAATTACTTGTTTGCATTATTTAGGCATTATTTTATTTTAATTTTAAGGCAATTGATTTTTTTGGTAACACTTTACAAAGCAAATTCATCTTCCTGTGGGGTGCGGCCAATTCAATTCAAATTCACAGCCAATTCTTCAACTCTGAATTTATCTAGTCTGGTGGTTTCGCTCACACGTCGTGTTTGCGTAAACACCTGTTGCGCGGACAGACAGAGAAATAGAACGATATATAAACAGACAGACAGACGGACAGAGAAATAGAACGATATATAAACAGACAGATGGACAAACAGACAGACAGACAGAGAAATAGAACGATATATAAACAGACAGACAGACAGACAGACGATATATACGATATATAAACAGACAGACGGACAAACAGACAGACAGACAGAGAAATAGAACGATATATGACAGACAGAACAGATGGACAGACAGAGAAATAGAACGATATATAAACAGACAGACAGATGGACAGACAGAGAAATAGAACGATATATAAACAGACAGACAGACAGACAGAGAAATAGAACGATATATAAACAGACAGACAGACAGACAGAGAAATAGAACGATATATAAACAGACAGACAGACAGACAGAGAAATAGAACGATATATAAACAGACAGACAGACAGACAGAGAAATAGAACGATATATAAACAGACAGACAGACAGACAGAGAAATAGAACGATATATAAACAGACAGACAGACAGACAGAGAAATAGAACGATATATAAACAGACAGAAAGGCAGACAGACAGAGAAATAGAACGATATATAAACAGACAGACGGACAGACAGAGAAATAGAAAGATAGATAAACACAGACAGACAGAACACAAAACAAGGACGGACGGACACACAGACGGATGGACAGACACACAGACGGATGGACAGACAGACAGACAGACAGACAGACAGACAGACAGACAAATAGAAAGATAGATAAACACAGACAGACACAACACAAAACAAGGACGGACGGAAAGACCGACCGACCGCAACAGACAGACAGACAGCCCGCAAACATTCATGTACCACGTAGGTTGAATCCAAACAGATTATCAGAGTCAACTACGTCAGTATTTGTAGTTGTTATATAACAGACTAGCAGTGAAAAAGATTTTTTAAAATGTTTTTGAAAAGTCTCTTTTGCTCACAAATGCTGCATTTGTTTAGTAATTAAATACAGTAAAAACTGAATTATTGTGAAATATAATTACAGTTTTAAATAATTATTTTCTAATGGCAAAATTGAATTTTCAGTAGCCATTACTCCAGTCTATAACATTTCTTATTATTAACAATCAAAAGTGACAGTTTTGATATTAATTATCAAAAGTGACAGTCGAGACTTAATTATATATTATAATTCTATAATTAATTGAACTTTGTTCATTAAAGAATCCTGAGGAAAAACACATGACAGTTTCCACAACAATATTAAGCAGCAAAAACTGTTTTCAAATCACAATTGACTGTTTTTACTATTATGTGACACTGAATAAATTATATTTTAAAATGTTAATGGTAATTTTAGTACTGCTTTTACTGTATTTTTGATCAAATGAAAGCTTATTTCAAAAACATTAAAAAAAATTGTAATTACACACTTTTGACCGCTTGTGTGTTTCTTAAGGAGTGGCGCAATTAATGGATGACTGCATGTTTTTCTTCTCAGGATGTGAAGATCTTCCGGGCGCTGATCCTGGGGGAACTGGAGAGAGGGCAGAGCCAGTACCAGGCGCTCTGCTTCATTACACGGCTCAACCACAATGAGATCATCCCCAGCGAGTCCATGGCCAGACTCCGACAGGTCAGTCCATTGCTCCCAGGCTCCCTCAGAGGCAAAACAAGCAGATGCTGGGTGTTAGAGTTGAGCTCATGAGTTAACTGTGTCGCGTAGGAGTGTGATGTTTTAAATGGGACATCTCAGAAGAACAAGGCTGTAAAAGGCCTTTGATGAGTAGTTCCTGGGAGGGCGGCCAAGGTCTTAGATGTGTGATTATGAGTGAAAGGTGTGAGAAAAGACTGGAAACATCTAGCTTTAAAGAACGACAGGACTAATACTAAAATCTTCCTTTTTATTTTACAGAAAAATCCCCTGGCCATCCGCACAGCGGAAGAGAAGAGAAGCACGGAGATGCTGAGCATGGACGTAGCAGTCAATTTGACACGGACGTGGCAGCTGAGCACCCACATCCACAACATGTGCAACGTCGCCCTGGAGGCTGTGTACACGCGTGAGGCTGATGTCAGACACTGGCTGGACAGAGGCAAGCATGCTTACTGCGTCCCTTAATTACACCCTACCAAACCCAGCATGCTTAAATATATCGCTGACATAGTGCACTTCACATCTTAACCCTCTATAGTAGGGGTGTAACGATATTCAAACCGAACTGAAAAACCACGATACACCGCCCACGGTACGTACCGCGGTACTCTAATAGCTTACCACGATACTCTGTTGGCTTACCCCGCCCCCTGCTGAGACACTTCAAATGCAGCCATTATGGCTTTGAATTGCTTGAATCACTTTGAAAGGGAAAGTACCATTTAAGAGCAACATGTGCAGAACAAATCTGTCATATAGGCTATATCTTCATGACTAGCACAGTTGCTTGTGCAGCCACTCTCAGCCTTTTGTGGAACTGTAAGTTGCAATATTTTGTTTATAGGTATATCGTGTATTTATTATTTATATCATGTAAGATGCATTTGGTTTTATGCTGCAGTAAAGCACTTCATTGTAGGCCTGCTACGGTGATTATCTCTTCAGCGCACAGCATAAGCAACACAAACAACACTGCAGAATATTAATAACTATGACTGGGACTGTCATATACATAACATTATAATGAGAACACTATTATAATCAAACGCGGTGAATTTTTAGAGTGTAGTTGGCGTGTTTCGCTGCGGGATTTCAGGCATTGTGCATAATTCTACACATTCCCACAGATTTCGCGATTATAAAGCAGGAGATTTATGCAGCATAGCATGTAGGTTGAATCCAAACAGATTATCAGAGCAGATCAGTCATTTTAAAACTTTCTGTGAGACGGAATTTCACAAACAGCGTGAGTGATTGGGATTGGTACCGCGTCTTCTCCCGCTCTCTCAAAATACACAAATGGCCTCACACCCATAATATCCACGTTGAGTTTGCTCTGCAAGCGAGCTGCACGCTGCAATACAAGACAAGCACGCGTTTCAGACAGTTGACGAACTATCACCTGCACGTAATTTTAAGTCATGCCAATTTAAACATTCAAGCTATTTTAACCCATATACTCGCGCACTCTTTGACAGGCCTTCAATGCGCTCTCCAAAGCGCGCACAGCCGCCTCTCAAACAGCTCGCGACTCTCGAGTTACTACATATTTGAATAAAATAATTTCCTTATTGTCCGGCTATTCCATTTTATTCATCCATGGCGCATGTTATCCAATTACTTGTTTGCATTATTTAGGCATTATTTTATTTTAATTTTAAGGCAATTGATTTTTTTGGTAACACTTTACAAAGCAAATTCATCTTCCTGTGGGGTGCGGCCAATTCAATTCAAATTCACAGCCAATTCTTCAACTCTGAATTTATCTAGTCTGGTGGTTTCGCTCACACGTCGTGTTTGCGTAAACACCTGTTGCAGCAGGGCAGACGCGCAGACAAGGAGAGGACCTGAGGGACAGCTGTCTCGTCTGGCCTGCAGCGGGTAGTGGCTATATGATGGATTGCACTAAGTTAAAACAGGTGTCCCATGGGAGATCTTCACAGAGCGGTGTTCTCTTCACTCTCCTGCACTCTTAGGCTACCCATGATTCATGCAGCAAGGCAGAGAAATGCTCCGTAATGGGAAGCATACTGCATGTTTCGGTATGCATGGCATGTGCAAATAGTTTGGGTCATACTTGGGTTGCCCTGCCACTACCTCAGTTCTCAGCAGCTCTTCATCGCTGTGATATAACGCTTCACTTCCCCCTGTATCTCCGGCACCCCTGCGCTGCATCTGTGTATCGCAGCTCTCGCCTCCCCCTCAATCTTAATGCGTTTGTGGCTCTCTCTCTTTCTCTCTCCAACACGCTCTCTATCTCCATTTCTAATTCCCTCACTCTATCTCATCCACCTTCTCTTTCCCCACTGATGAATCACCTTCCCCTCCCGTTGAACTCGACTGAATCCGAGGGAAGCAGTAAAGTACCATCGATCAGCCTCACAAGCCACAGCAGAGACACGGAAACAACAAACCGCGCTCCCGGCTGTGCACCAACGCTCACACGTGCGTGTTTCTGCGTGTCTCGCACACTCGTGAGTGTGTGTTTTTACCAGGCGCAGGGGAATACGAAAGGTCGCAAATCTCTTTGGGCCCAGTGTGTGATTTGCATGTTGCATGCAAATGGATGCGTCATTACATGACTAGTCCGGGCCTATCTGTGCACTGGTACACAGAAGAAAAGGTGCACGTTCGTGTCCACATGTGCAGAATATGTGCATTCAGCACATAAGGGAATCATAAATCAGTTCACATTCTTTTGGCCTATAAAAACTAGAACAGGGGAAAAAAGCACATGGCTGAATTGCTGGCACTTGCAAAACACATGAAAGGTGCATCATCATTTAAACGTATATAGAAATTATCAATCAGTAATGCAGGTAGAAGTGAGAAAAATACACCTTTTGTAAAGCTAAAAGGCCAGTCTTTAAATATTGAAAGCAGTGGTCAACCGTAATATTCGCACTGACAAAATATGTATTACATATATATATATATATATACACAGTATGTACACACACACACATAGTTTCTTATTAATTTGTATGTCCTAGAAAAATATTTATAATATTTTATAATATATAAACTTACAAATAAAAATGTAAATAAATAAAATTATTTCATATATATTCCGTATTTTCATTTAAAATAACAGCTGGAAATTATACTGCTCTGATGCAGCATGACAGCTACATTCATAAACACTTTTGTTGGAAATCGATGGCATATGGTGCAAAACATTGCTGATTTGTTAGTCATTTTCAACCCCGTCTTAAAGATGTTTCCAAGACATCTTCAATCAGTCAATCTTGCAATTATGTAAATAATGTTATATTGTCAACATTTAAATAAGCAGAATTCAAAACAATACTTTATTATGTTGTTTCATGTTTTAATGCAGTGAGGAGCATCCGGTTATCTTGAAAATTAAATGTAATTCACATTTTAATTAAAATAACTATTGGCATTACGAACTGACGAGTCGAGAAAAAGATGTTAAAAATTGATGTTAATTGCAGTTCATTAATCATACTGGAAATAGAAGGTCAAGTCAAGGCAAATGTAGTAGGTCATCTAGTATTCCCTGCATTCAGGACATGCACATACTGTGCACACTATACACTGTATATTGCTGGAAGAGTAGATATAGTCTGATAGTAAGCTATATTGAATGTAAACAGCATGTGCATGGATTTCAGTATGGTGAAACAGTACACTACCACAACGCTCTTTCCATTGCTGCAATATATTATGCATACAGTACATAGATACACACTGTCAGTATGCACAGAATACTCATAAAACCTACTGTTTCTCAAAATAAACAGCGTTTAATGTGTGGAATACTGTATCCCACAATGCAATGCACATCCATCTCCAATGCAAGAAGTAGCCTAATATGAGCTGTGATTTTTATCTTTTTCTTGATTCATCATTTGAGCAGACTCAAATATTCAGACATTTTTGCCCAAATCATTTCAAATGCAATAAACAAAAAATGTAAAAAAAGATGAAAAACAATCGAAATTAATTAAAGTTTAAATAAATAAATTAAAAGAGAGCTTATTGCATGGAATATTGCATCCCACATAGCAATGAACGTTCATCTCCAGTGTGATGAACAAACTGAAAGCAGACTAATATCAGACTAATGTGCATTCAGCGAGATGAGGTTGTGAGACAACAAAATATTAGAAACATTTAGCATAGAAAACAACACGTAATAACATTTGCAAGATCAAAGAACATCGCGAGAACACAGCTCTGTCCTGAAAATCCTCTCGGACCGGCCCTGGACCTGCAGGCCATCCTTATTTTTGAGCCCTAAAAAAAGTGTCACATTTTCAAAGCTGAAGCAGAACGTGAACACATCAGGTTGAGGGCATAAAATGCCTCTTAAATGTAACTAATTGCCACAACCTTTCTCCTGACCTCATTCTTGCACGTAATGAATCACTATGTGGCAATAAAGAAACCCTTGACCATAAATAAGTGGACCAACAGGAAACAAATGTATCAACAACACAGTCAGAGGCCTGGCATTTCACTGACATGACTTCTATTTCCCTTCTCCATTAGGGCACGACCGCTCGGTCTCAGACGGGTGGCGTTCTCCCTCTCACCTCTCTTGTTTTGTTCCTAATGTACTGGCAAAGGTAGACTCCATTAGTCCCTGCATGCACCAAACACATTTATGCCTCCCCTCTCATTTCCTCCTTTTCATTGCACCATGATACATCAGCATGCTCATAGCAGTGTGGAGGGGAAAAAAAGTCTTGTGAACTTGGCAGTTGCTTGTTGAGGGTGAGTGCCACCTTGTGGCCAGTCGGTGTCGGGACGCCGGGATCACAAGACAGCCTGTCATTGTCTGCTGTTCAAAGAGCCCCTCAAGAAATAGATAAAACAAACAGATGTGTTTTATCAAGAGACAAAATCGCAGAAGCCAGATAAGCGCCCTGGAGAGGAATCTAAAAACTCTGTTGCATTCCTCCCATTTCCTGAATCTCTTCTCAGTAGAAGCTCTGAGTCATCAGCGATGTGTGCAAATGAAGGAAACTGTTTGTTTTCATTTGTGCGTGCCATCACAGGTGTGAGTGAACGTGCTCATTATTGCCAATTCCTGTAGGCCTACTTTTAGAAAACAACCTCTGCGTGCTTGTACAGGGGAGTTATGTTTGCATGAGTCGCGGGGGCGACAGGGGGACATTGACGGATCGTGTCAGACGGTGGAATTGCAGGTTGCTGCGTCCCTCCTGTCACCAGGCTCATCTGTCTGGGAGGTGGCCATACCTGCAAGGCACCACGCGCTCCTCCTCCTGCTGAGGGATCACACGGGAACGGCTGCCAGATGAAGCCGCCCGGTCTTGCTCACCTGCTCCCCGGCCGCGGCTCCGTGTGTTTTTCAGTCATTATAGTCACGGGGCCGTGATGAAGCGAGGAGAAGCCGCAGAAACCAGAGGAGGTATTTGTCAGCTATGTGTGAGGTCAACATGCGAGTTGCAACAAAAGTGAAATTGGCAATGTCT